TCACAGAATCCTAAAGGCATGGTTTGAATAATCAGATGATAACGAGAACACTGACACCTGGAAATGGGCATCATAAAGCCAACTCTGAAACAGGAGCGTGTCTGACCTGCTGCACCCACGCTGAAGCAGGATGAGAAGCTCTGTCCCTTTGACAGTCAGTGACAAATGTATTATGGCTGTAGTTGGCATGTTCATGCCAACACTGTCACACAAAACTGAGTAACAGTTCGGGGAGAGAAAAAAAAAAAAGTGTTCAGCAAATTCAGTGTGAAATCCCAACTCAAAGATGGCCCAAAGATGAATCCAATGTTTTTGCCCATAAAGCAAGGCCAGAGTGACACGGAGCAGGAAGGAGTCGAAGACTCTCAGTCCCTTCTGCATGAAGCTGGAAGAAGGTGCCAGCAAAACAGCACATTTGTTTCCAGGTATTGCATTTCCAGAAGGATCACAGACACAGGAGTTCAAAGAAGAGCACCACAGCACATCAGGGTCTGGAAGGAGCAGTAACAGATGAAGGATCAGGGATGTACTGCTTCACTGAATGGGCAGTGAGACTGAGAAACCCGACACAGACACAAGAAGGATGTAAACACCAGGATGGGAGAAGTTACTTACGAAATGTGGGGCAAAAAAGTGATTTGGAAAACCTTGCTCAATAACAGGTCCAACACAGCAGAAACAATTTCTCACATACCCTAACAGCAAGCTTTGCTTTCTGCAGAAGATGATATGCTTGAGCACCTTTACAGAATAGCCCTCTTAGTTCCTTGAAAAATCAGAAACCTCCTTAGATGTGAACTCTGAGCGAGCACTAAGGTACCTCTTAATGCCCTTCTCCACATGGCCTCTGCTCCAGCAGGAGTAGAAACCTGATATACTTTCTAGGTGTTAGTTCTATTTATGTATCTATATAATACATGATATATATTTAAAAACACCAAAGTATCAAAATAAATGCTTCCAGCAACACCCCTCAGACTTCTGTATTCTTGGAAAGGAAGAACAACGTTTCAGCTTTCAAATCTCCCATGCTTGGCACTGTTTCTAATAAAGTTGGACAGAGGACTGGGATCTGTTTCCATCCTGCAAACCCAGCGGATAAACAGCCGCCCAGGGTTGTCCAGGGCTGTCAGCAGAGCTGCCACCATGCTCAGCAAAAACCACCCTGGGTTCTGCAGAGTCAGAAGATTTCCCCACGCCACGGGGAATTCTGGCTGCCTCGCACTTTCGTGTTTCTGTGACGTGCCCTTGGTTTGTATTATTCTAAAAGCATCTTTTTATTTTAAAGGGATCTCTGGATCTCACCTAAATTTAAATACAAGGATGAGGAAAGTAAGATCTATAAAGAAAAGCAAAAAGCCTTGGGAAACATTCTGGTGACACATATTACTACTATAATACAAATCATTAAAAACATGTACTCCAACATTTTATTTTTTAAATTTGAACACATTAAAAATTTTAATATTTTAAATAGTATTGAAAGGCTTGGATAATTCACAGCAATATCCACATAACGATATTATCTATTACTTCTACTTCAGATGATATCAATCTTGTAATTCCACATACTTTCAGTGAGACCTTTTCAGATCTCTGTCTACTCCTTTGATGGGTGATGGAGAAAACCATATGTGCAGATCCATACAGCAATGAACTTTGTAAGCCAAACACAAGAACAGCAGCTTCTACGAGAGAGTGGCTTGCCAAGACAAACAAGTTCTGCCAACATTTTAACACCACAGAAGGTCAGTTAGGTTATAATTAAATCTAATTACCATTCTCATGAATTGCAACATCTTTTCACTTGAAGTCGCTTAATGCTCAGAAAAGGATGAATTTTTCAAGATTTTCCAAGAATCACAGTAATGAGACATTCTAATCTTGGCTTTAAATCTGAATCATCACTTGCAATCATAAAGAAACAAGGCATGTCATCATTAAAAGGAAGAGATTTCAGCAGTTTATTCAACCACTAACACTTCCTCACTCCTGCTTTTCCCTATTCCTCTGCAGTAATTTTACAAGTTATTTTTCTCTTCTGCTCAGTACCACTCTGGGTTTTTTCATTATTTCACATTCTCTTTTTTTCCTTTCCAGAGTTTTATAACCTTTCTGCTTCAGCTCCCTATTTTTAATCCTCTATATATCTTCAGCTCTATTACTGTTCCTGTCTGCTCTCTCACCAAGCTGGGGAGTCTGATGGGAGTAACTTTCCTCTGTTTCCACAGACATTTTGACTGCTCCTTGGACAGAACTGCCTTGGGAACCACCTGAGATTATCTCATTGAGGGAAAAGGTGAGACAAAAATTGCTGAAGCAAAGACTTCTTTTCTTCCCCCATTCCTTTTCTCCCAGGCCAACAGAAAGCGAGAGAGGAAAAAAGCCAGAAGTCATTTGGCTGCTTCTCCTCCATCAGGAGTGCAAAACCTGGCCATTCTCGTCCTGGTCTCGTTACCTGGGCAAGCAGCTCAAAAGCCTGGGCTATGAATGTCACCACCTCACAGGAGAAACCCTTCAGCACCTCAGGTTTAGTAGGTGGGAGCTGCAGCTTGCGCGTTGGCATCAGCTGCTGTCACATGTGGCCATGCCATGTGCATGGTGAAAAAAGCCTCTCAATTGCTAGGATGGCCCTCCAATAAAATTAAAATTTCATTCCTCTGGAGACTGGAAAACATCAAGGACCATTTGTTTTCAGACTGAAATAAAGAAACTGGAGAGCTCAGCTTGTAGCACACTGTGCCCAGCAGCACAGACCCCCAGCAGCAGGAGCACACAGCGGCGGTGCTGCCAACGTCACCCACCTGCCTGAGTCCAGCATTGCATCACTTGGAACCTGGCTCCACTGCTGCAGGGCTGCTCTGAAAGCGTCAGGAAGGGCAGGATGTGATGAGCAGTCCTGCTCCCTGCACACTGTGTTCCTTAATCCCTCTCATCAATGCTCTCCTTCATTAACTCCCATCGACTAACAGCATGAGGCACGGCTTTGTGAAAGTCACCTCATGCCTCATACAGCTGTGCTCTCACACTGCAAAGAGTCCCTCAATCAATAAAAATGACAGTTTCGGTCATCACATGGTACTTCAAGTTCCACCTGTCCTACAGGAGCTTTACATGTCATTAAGGAGTTAAGATGTCACTCCACTTACCAACCCTTATGTCATGTAAGCCTTTTATTGTAGGTGGAACAAAACAGAAATCCACAGCACCCTTTTGTTTACTTCCAATTATATTAATCTCTTGCATCTACAAGATTTACTTATCCTCACACATATTATTCATGCTTGAAGCCCTGCAAAAGCACACAGACTGAAATCCTTGACCCACTGGTGTTGCTGGAGGGTTTGCAAGGGACTTCCAGAAACTGGATTTTTGTTCCCCTTCCTCAGCTAATATACTACTTCTGTGATTCCTTTAAATCCAGTTGTTTCTTTTTGCAGTCTTACTGGGTTGAAAAGAAGTCTGAGATGTAAAAGGATTAAGCTGTTTTTCTATAACTTTCAATGGTGCAAGATGGTCCTGCTCTATTTGGGGCTAGAACAGTGACTCTGGTTATGTTTGCTTGGCAGTTCAGCATCTTATGACTATCCCTGTTAAGTCCACAAAATTCAAATTGTCTGCTGATGAATCCCTCGCAACCTACTACTGTACAGACAGTCCATAGACTCTGTATTATAAGACCATTGACAGATCAGGTATTCTATTTCAAGGTAATTTGGTACAGGTTAAGTGAAACTACAGAATCAAATTGGTTCAAATATTAGTTCAAATATAATTTTGTTTTCTCTCACCTAACAAGATAAAAATCCATACAGATAACAGTGCAATAACAAGCAAAAACCCACAGCTTGTTCCTTTGCTTTCCAAACCTGAAATCCATTATTTGGAGATCCACCACTTAGCAGAGCACACATACCAGAGTACAGGCTGAGCAGATGGTTCAAAGCTATCTGTCAATCCATTTGCAGTTCAAAACAGTGGTGAACTGCTCCAGCTGTTTTCCAGATCAAAAATATTATTGTCATTTTGCTATCGCTGCGTGCTGAGGGTTATGTAACAAAAATGCACATGTCCCTCTGCCTGGAATGCAATTAATTTCCTCCCTCCCCACTGTGAGTGGTAAGTAACAATTCAGACAGTCTGCATGCTTCAGTTTTGAGCACGGCCAGAGATGCAACCCCAGAATTACTCCACGTGGTAACCCACTATTTGTAAGATGCCAGCTTTCTGGAGGTCTTACAGACAGGGTGTATTCTGCAGTTTGGAAAAAAATAAACACCATCATCCTGTTTATACATGGCCTCTTACCGTCTGTGGGGTACTCTGAATGCTTCCCTGTAGTTCTTTAGTTTAACCATAGACTTTGCTTTGTGCTGGAATTTTAAGACTTCTAAATAAGTGTGCTAACTAGATAAAGCAATTGCCTCCAATCTGAAATCAGCCACTATACTTGCTGTACATTTTGGCATGCAAAAATCAGGCATTGTACACATTTAACCTTAAAATAGTGGCATAATCCCATCTTAGTTTACAAATATCCAAACATCATGCAGGTGGTTTAATTCAGACTCCATAATGCTTAACCATTCCATGGAATTTGCTTATATAAAGAGAACAACTGGAACTCCTTTGCTTGAAACAGCACACTCAAGAAACAAAACTCATTTTCTCTCTGCAATCTTTTCTGCAATCTGCCTTTCATCTCTCCAAGTGCAGCTAACCCCATGATATTCATATAGCAACTATAATATCTTCAGGACAGGAGCTGCCTTTCTGTAAAATGTTTGCACCATACTTCACTTCTCTCTGTTGTTCCTGTGACAGAAATACAACGGGGTGATCAACTGTCCTCCAGGGTGTCAACTGAGATGAAACATTAACTTAGTACTAAACTGCAGCAATTTCCTTTAATGTGCTATTACTTGGTGCAGCTTGTTCTGGATTACTGGTTTACAGATTCCCTCTGCAGGGAGCACCTGCAGAGGTTTTACTGCTCTTACCTGGTTAAATAGGCCAGAGCCCGCTCAGATCCCGATGGCTTCTGGGGTGCCGCCTTTTTAATGGAGATTCCAGCTTCCCTCATCAGCTGTTTCTCCTTCTTCTTGCGCTCTTTTTTTAATTTTCTTTCCAGTTTCCTCTTCTCCTCTGGAGTAAGTTCTTGCTCTTCCTCTGCAATAAGTTCTTCCTCTTCTTTTGTTGCCTGAAATAGTCGACATTTAAATAAAGTGTTTATATTTCCATACGAAAGTGAACGAAATGTGCGTAAATTCAAGTAAAAGGCACAGGTAATATTCAAAAAACAAGCTTCAGGATTCATGTTTTTACTGTTCACTGTACTTCCACTGCCTCTCTGCTCTGCCCAGTTCACAGAACTGCAAATGCTCCACTTCCATGGACTGAGAAAACCTCTGTCTGCCATACAGAGGCTTCATCTCGATTATGCCAAGGGAGAAGATGTGACAACTACCATCTTCATCCAAGACCACCTGGAGAAACTTTAGCAATCTTGAGGGAACATATGCACAATATCTTCAATATCTTCAATAAACACATACAGAGAAGTATCTCACAAAGGTTGGCATTTCTTTAGGTTTGTAGACAGACAGTTAATTATTCACATCTGAAACCATATTGCCATAAATATATGCATCAGCTTATCCCAAATGAAAATAAATATTTCATGTACAGATGAAGAGCATTAAATAGACACATCGAGTTTATCACATATCCAGTGTGAGATTACACTGTGTAGAAATAAAACACTGTTCCATAGCAAGATGAGATTGACTCCAGGGATTCCTATATGTCTGAAAGAGGTACTCTCTGCTAGAGCCTGGGATACCCATGGAGGCCAACTGAGTGAGAAAGAAATGCTCTTCCTCCTCTCTCTGCTCCCTCCTCACCTATTTGAGGAACCCATAACTGAAACCTGAATGCACAAGATCAACTGCTTCATGGCAAGATTGGTTAAAAGCACGTTATAAACTCACAAATCCTTAATGTTATATCAATTTGTGTTAGTTGAGTGCTTTCAAACACAAATCCACCCAAAGAGCTAAATAAGGTTATTCTCACTGACATTCAACAAACAAGACAATACCTGAACACATCTTTATTTGTCAAAGACAACTGCTGGGGTCTAAACATTTGTTCAGAGTCAATTCACCTACCATGTAAGTTTACTCTGACTCATCTTTTCAGATTCGTGCTTTCACAGACCAAAGAAAGGGCAAGAAATCAAAAATTAGAATAAATGGAAGTAAAGAGGATTTGCTTTTTTTCGTCCAAAACACTTTTTAGCTACTTTTGTTGAAATGCCAGCATTCATTGCAAACACATGCAAAAAAAAGCAACATATGTTGCATTTGTATAGAAGGTATTTTATAGTTCATGCTGAGAATAAAATAATATTTAGGGTGAAGGTAGAATTAAATGTTATACAGGAAACAACGTTTTCATTTGAAAAGCCACCCTGGTTCTTACTAAAATAACAGTCCAGCCACACAAAGCCCTGGAAAACACTGAGGGTGGTCATTTATAAAGTGTTTGTAAAAGATTACTACAGCAGCTGTCCAACAGACGACACACTACAGTTAATCTTCTTTTAAAAATAATGTAATGAATTTGTTTACTTTTCTGTGAGCCATGAAGCTTTCAAATAAAGTGACTGTGGCACATCATTAGAGCTGCTCTGATAAAGCGGCCTCTGCTTCTTCATACTTACAGTAAATGCATATCTCAGTGCTTCCCCTTCCCCCCCACATTCCTGGCATTATCAAAAAGCTTTTTATCCCTCTCCCCCGACCGCTCCACTAAAAACAAAACAAGTTGCTCCCTCCCTGTAGGTCCCAACGTAAATACCGGGCCCTAACAACGTTTGTTTCCAGCATCACGACTGACGTGCTGTGGGCTGTCTGACACAAGAGCATTGTTCTCCTGCAGGGCTGTGGCTGTCCCAGCCTGAAAGAGTCGGGATTTACAGCTGGAGGTACCTTCTGCTGGCCCACAGCATCATTCCAGGAAAACTGGATTCATCAGGCTTCTGTCTGGGAAGCACACACCCCACGAAAAGTCCTCACAACCTCACAGCTCAAACAACTTCTCTGGTTCCAACTATACTTTTATCCATCCACGTCAACTTGGTTGATTTAGTCGTCCTATGTGCCACAATCTGTCCTTGACTGGTTTTTAATTTGAAAGCCTTATGTGCTTCAGAAAATACCTGCATTCTACCTACTGAGGCTGAGGGTAATTTTATGACAATTTGTATATAAAAAATATTTCCCCCGAACCTGGGACTCGAAAGAAAACAAAACCAAACCTTTTACTGGAATTTAAATCCTAGCTGTGTTTATTATTTATTACTTTATTGATGCACCTCTTTAAATCAATAGCCCTATTTTTTAATTTCTCTTTCTCCAAACCATTCGTGTGACTGTTCTTCTGAAAGGTGTTCCCAGTTTGTGACCCATTTGGATTCAGAGTTTTAGTGTTATGTTATTATTTAAATTTTAAAAACCCAACCAACAGGACTTCATTGTTTTGAGGTCATAAATATTCCACGTTGTCTCCTTCTATATTTATAAAGTGACATCACAATTTGTAGTGCTGCAGTTTAGTCTTAACTACAACATTGTAAAGTCCCTATTTGAGTGTGTGAGACACTTGTTTATTGACGTGATAAATTTAAAACACATGCACACAGAAAAACACAACACTTGCTTATTTGCAAAGCCTGCTGAGAGCTACCACACCACCTTGGATCCTGGGCTCATTAGATCTCAATCTAAACAAGGTCAGGCCAGGTCAGTACACTTGAATGAATGACATTCAGAGGAGAGCCAGTGTTTTCTCGTGATTAAGGAGGTGGGAGTCTTCCACTTGGAAGCTTTCCAGAAGGCCTGAAAAGGTGCTAAAAGGGATATTGCCACTGGATGCCATATTTTGAGTAAAAGGCAGACCCCCAAATCTTTCACACTTATGCTCATAAAAACCCACGTCAACTGTGCAGGGGTACAGAGATGTGAGTTCAGGCATCTTCCAGCAAATTGCCAAAGTTTATACTGTACCCTGTCCATCTGCAGGCAAAGTGCTGTGACTGCCAATACAGCGCCTTTCATCAATGCCAGTTTCCAAATTTCTGAACTGTGTGTAAATATAGCAATATGCTGTAAATAGTCTAAGACATCTGCCTCAAAATATCCGGAGGCTTCAGCTGTGGCAGTTTTAGATACCGGTTAAAGTTTTCCATCATTCTTTGCAATCTGGAAATACTGCACAAATTTGAAACATTTTATAAGTGGTCTTTATAAATGAGCTTACCCATCATAAATGGGGAGCCAGCTCACACTGAAGGGAAGCATTTAATAGTGTAGAGCAGCCCTGCTAAGCAATTCAGAGAAGAAGAAGAACTGCAAGAGAAACCAGCAGAAAGATGTACAGGTTTTCTTGAAGGTATCTGACCCTTTTTTATTTCAGCAAGAGTGGTAGAACCAAATAGGTGTAGGTTTTCAGGGACTGCACCTGCATAAAAGCTTGTACTGCCAGGGGACTATGAACCATAATAGCTGAGCAAGCAGCACCCAGACGGGATTAACAGCACACTAATTGTGTTGTATTTTCAGCAGAGCATTAAGTGCATTTTTAAATTTGTTTCCAGATTTATAGTTACATGAAAGTCCTTGACTGTCTCATACCTGAGTAGAACCGAAGACATCTCCTAAAGACTTCTGTTCCTCCTCCTCGCCCATCACCCCGTCCAAACCTCCCACATTTGCATCCCTGGTTGCCTGCTGCCAGCACAGAATAAAGTTGATGTAGTCAGAATCTCTGAAGAACTACCACAACCAACCGAACACTCGTCCATTAAATGTTGCCTTTATGATTCGCCTGTGTAGGTCTGAACTTTCTGCCTGATCAGGGGTTTGGCTTTGCTGCCAAACCTATAACAGTAACCACAGACCAAGCCACAAGACCAAATTCACTATTTATTAGTAACAGTGAATCCAGCTCCTCCAAAACCAACAGACTTTTATCCTTTCCTCCCAGCACAGCACCACAAGTCTGTACAACAGCAAAGCAAACAACAGCAGAAATTGAAAGGGAAAAATAACAGCGACAAACATATAAAAAGGGCGTCAAATTTTTGAACTCCAGAGAGTTCAAAATGGGGGAGAAATAGATTATATGGTTTATTTCATAGTAGAAGCATTGTATCACCTTGTTTGTTCATGAAGCTCATGTTATTTCATAACTTTTAATACAGAAAAATGTCAAAAGGGGCTTTGTTCGCTGACCAAGAGCTACCGACCCGTCACATAATGGCTTCTGCTGACGAGTAGCCTCCTGCCCCAAAAATGCCCTGTGAACAGTATCAGCATGCAAAACGTCCTGTTCCTGCCTTACACAATACATATGAACCCTGATAAATAACTGGCCATCTGCTGGCTCAAAAACAAAAAGCAGAATCTATAAACACAGTTCAAAACCCACAGAGAAGAAAGGCTGGCAAACCCTTACACACAAGGTTCATAAAAGAAAGATTGACAAATGATTTACTATTGGAGGCTGTGCTCCAACTAGAGCTAGAGAATTTGCATAGAACAGTTCATGGCCATACTGAATTTAAATAATTATTTTCTATCATCTAGAACCTTTTGAAAAGAAGTATGACCAGAGAGGCCACATGAAATTTCATTATCATGCAGAAAGCAAATTTTAAATGAAAAGCAATATGTAGAAGTACTCCTCCTTACATCATGTCTGTCACACTTACAGAGGAAGATTTTTTAAAACTTATATGCTGCTCAAAGAAAAACAACAAATTTTTCACAAAAGCTAGGTGTTTTTAGAATCTCAACTCCTTGCAACAAAACCACTGGGAATAATTTATATTAAGTTGATTTGGAAAGGTTTCTGTAGTTTCAACCCAGGCAGAGAAGCCTCAAACAAGTTCTGCAGGAAACCAGATTTAAATAAGAACAGGCTTTTTATCTTTCTGCTCCAGGAAAGGATTCTTTTTGTGGTCATGTAAATGCCTTTTTTTTAAAAAAAAAAAAGCCTCCTTGTGTACACAGCTATAGTATCTCAGGAGCACAAGTGATCAGGTAGCACTCTAAATCTGCAGCTGTAATTTAGAATAGATGCACCTTGATTGGCTTGAAACCCAGCTTAATTTAAAACTATGTGATCTTTGCATGT